AGCGCGGCTCACTACCTGTACACGCGCAACCACCCGGTGGACTACTTCATCCTGCTGCTGCAGGTCAGTGAGCCTCTGAGAGCCTCTGAGGCCCGTCGCTCGTCCGTCCCACAGAGCGGCAGGAAGAAGACGTGGAGCGCCGTCACGTGACCTCTGGCTGCTTCCTGTTTGCGGTGCTCAGGGTCGCGTGGAGGTGGAGATCGGGAAGGAGGGGCTGAAGTTCGAGAACGGAGCGTTCACGTACTACGGCGTGTCCGCGCTGACGCTGCCCTCTTCAGGTGAGCAGGAGGACTATTGATCTCCTTCATGGTGACGTCATCGCGACGGCTTCAACGTTGATGACGCGTTGTTGTATTTTATGAATGAATAACGATTCGTCGCGAGACAAGAATCACTCGGTTTGTCCGTTTGATCGTGATGACGCAGCTTTATTCACTCCGTGTTTCCATAACCGAGGTTCAAAAAGGAGGAGAAGAAGAAGCAGGACAGCAGATGTTGTGCTGACTCATTGTGTGTGTGTGTGTGTGTGTGTGTGTGTGCGTGCGAGTGTGTGTTCTCAGCCTTTGAGTTCTCAACTCATTCACAGTGTTCATAGTACTTTTTCGTGGTACTTTTCACTAAAGTACAACAATCTAAATACTAGGGCTGCAACAACGAATTTATAAAATCGCTAAAAATCGAGTAAAGGAAGCGTGTTGTGCTCTGGCGCCCCCTGTGGACTGAAGCGGTGTTGCCTCTGAGCACCAGGGTCCCTTCAGGAAACGTCTCATTTACACAGGAAAACAGAAACACTTTGTTGCTCTTCATTTGTAGCCGAATTCTGATTGGTGAAAAGAGGCGTGTTGTTAAAATGTTGAAGTGGTTTTATATTAGAGTGACATTAATGAACGTGCACTAACCCACTAATCGCTGCACGACGCTGGCAGGTGACTCGTCTCCAGTACCTGAACGCTCTCATGGCGTCGCGGGTCGGTCACAGTCCAGATCCTCCAGAGATTAAGATCCTGCCCAACAGTCAGACCAAGCTGCTCAACGACAGAAACTCACAGCCAGGTACGTTTCTCCACCGTCCTCCTGGAACCAACACCAGCGACAACGTGTCCACCAAACCGCTGTGAATCAGGACGCAGGTCTTTTATTCTACGATTTCCTCTCTTTATAAAGGAAAGCTTAGTGGACTTAAAATATGAAGCGTGCATGTTAGAGAGCTGTCAATCACAGTAAGCCCCGCCCTAAAGCATCCCCTGCTTCATGGTCTATTAGAGACCTGTCAATCACTTTAAGCCCCGCCCTAAAGCATCACCTGCTTCATGGTCTATTAGAGAGCTGTCAATCACTTTAAGCCCCGCCATAAAGCATCACCTGCTTCATGGTCTGTTAGAGAGCTGTCAATCACTTTAAGCCGCGCCCTAAAGCATCACCTGCTTCATGGTCTCATAGAGACCTGTCAATCACTTTAAGCCCCGCCCTAAAGCATCACCTGCTTCATGGTCTATTAGAGACCTGTCCATCACTTTAAGCCCCGCCCTAAAGCATCACCTGCTTCATGTTCTGTCAGAGAGCTGTCAATCACAGTAAGCCCCGCCCTAAAGCATCCCCTGCTTCATGGTCTGTTAGAGAGCTGTCAATCACTTTAAGCCCCGCCCTAAAGCATCCCTGCTTCATGGTCTATTAGAGACCTGTCAATCACTTTAAGCCCCGCCCTACAGCGTCCCCTGCTTCATGGTCTGTTAGAGAGCTGTCAATCACAGTAAGCCCCGCCTTAAAGCATCACCTGCGTCATGGTCTAATAGAGAGCAAAGAGGAAGGCGTTGTCTCTCCGTATCATAGCAACCAGATGTAAAACCTTCCTG